TCTCTGGGGATGAATGCAAACTAGCAAAGCAACGTGCTAGTTTTCTTTGGAAGTGGAGCAACCGAGCGAAAGAATTGGCTGAAGATGAGAGACGTCTTCACGAAAATATGCCGGAGCACTTGCGGCAGTTGTTGAGTGGGAAAAGATTACTTCTATTGAAAGAAGTGCTGGAAGACTTGAAATAGCCTGACACCCACCTTTTTGAGGAGATCACGCAGGGCTTCACTTTGCATGGTTGGATGACTGAGTCTAACGTTTTTCCGAGGGAAACAAAGAGACCCGAGTACACCCTTGACATGGTGAAGAACATGGCCAAAGGCGTTAACAACATGATTTACAGTCAAGTTGTGGGCACGTCGGATGACGATTTGTCAAGGAAAACCTGGGACAAGACACTGGAAGAAATTGACAACAACTGGGTTTGGCGTGACGTTGTCAGCGACGTTGGAGACGTTGTTATGGCCAAACGTTTTGGTTTGCAACAGAAAGAGAAAGTGAGGGTCATCGATGACTGTTCTGTTGGTGGCTACAACAAAGCCTATGGAACCAAAGAAAAGTTGAGAGTGCATGCGATCGACCAACTAGCTGCCTACTTGAGCTGGATCTGCACAATGCACGGGGCAAACTTGGATGACGAGATAGTTGGCAGGACATATGACTTGCGCAGTGCTTACAAGCAATTTGGTGTCAGCATGGAAACACGAGATGTCCTGCGGCTTGTGGTGTGGGATGCAGACCAAAAGCGTCCATGCTTGTTGGGTGTTAATGCCTTGCCTTTTGGGGCGTCAGGTTCAGTGAGCGCATTTCTAAGGATCAGCATGGCTCTATGGTTCATTGGAACAGTTGGTTTAAAGTTATGCTGGACCGTCTTTTATGACGACTTCACTGTGATTTGCAAGGGGCGTTTGTGCCATGGCACAGGCATTGCTGCTGCAGCTCTTTTTGATCTGTTTGGAATGTGGTTTGCAAAAGATGGCAACAAAGCAACACCTTTTGGTACACTGGTGCGTACTTTGGGTTTGCAAGTTCAACTTGGCTCAGCTGCCCGAGGTTTTTGCATTGGGCATACAGAGGAACGAAGGGCTGAATTGAAAGCAGCTTTACAAGACGTTTTGGAAAAAGGAACCATAGAACCTAAACAAGCAGAAAGGTTGAGAGGACGCATGCAATGGTTTGAAGGGTATGCTTTTGGAAGAGTGGCACAGTTCAGTTTGAAAGTGCTCGGCGACTTAGCCTTGAGAAAACAGAAACAAGTGAAGCTGAGTGACAATGAGCTACACGCTGTTCGATTTCTGGTACAACGTGTTTCTGAAGCGGAGGCGGTCGAAATAAGTTCAGTCTCGCTTGAAACTTTTCTCATTTTTACTGACGGTGCTTGCGAAGGCGAATCGCTACGCACTGGAAGCGTAGGAGGTGTCCTGATAGGACCCAATGGACAATGCCTTCAACACTTCTCAAGCGTGGTGCCTGAGACCTTCATGGAGACAGCCTTGGAGAAGTCGGCGAATCCAATTTATGAATTGGAATTGTTGCCGATATACATTTCCCTCTTACTATGGGGAAACAAACTGAAATCGACCCATCTGGTGTGCTACTTGGACAACGATGCAGCACGAGCAGCCATGTGTAAAGGATATGGCAGCACCGATCTTGCTCAATGTATCGTTGCATGCACCATGGAAAGTGAGAGTCAACACAAACTGAAATCGTGGTTTGCAAGAGTTGCCACACACTCTAACATCTCCGATGGTCCAAGCAGACTGGACTGCAGGGAGGTGGAACAGTTGGGGTCACGACTGATTGAGATAGACTGGGAAAACATCCTAGAGAATCTCTTTGAAAGTTCGGGTGCATCTTCTAAAAGGGGAGAGCACGGGCACTCCGAATGATCCCCAACTGCGTTGGTTTAAAAAAGGTGTGTGGGGAACTTCCGACTTCACCGTTCTGCATTTTTCGTGGAATCATGTTTTCGTTTTTCGACGAATTTTATTTAATTGTTTTGGCGAGTTTTCTCTGACGCGCTTTTGGACACAGTTGCGGTTTCAATAGGGAATAAGTTAGGACCCCTCCTGAAAGGAGGATACAAACCTTATTCCTGAAAAGAAAAATTTTGGTTTAACCAAAATTAGCAACTGGTGTTTTGCAAAGTGCTTGCATGTAATTTTACACTTGCCTTAAATTCGAAAACCGTTGAAGTTTTCCTCCAACAGAGTTTTTGTTCTCTGTTTTTCTGTGAGTCTGTTTGTTCAACATGTTGATGTTTTACTGGACTCCAAACTGATTTTATATTGCATGAGAACCATTTTGGTTTAAGGGAGGGTTGTGGTGGGACCATTCGTGTATTTGTACGCGTAGATGACCCACCCTAAAACGTTACCCGTTTTTCCCACCCTTTTGCCTTCGTTTCTGGTTAACATGCCTAGCCCTAAGCCTAAGAGCACGGGCACTCCGAATGATCCCCAACTGCGTTGGTTTAAAAAAGGTGTGTGGGGAACTTCCGACTTCACCGTTCTGCATTTTTCGTGGAATCATGTTTTCGTTTTTCGACGAATTTTATTTAATTGTTTTGGCGAGTTTTCTCTGACGCGCTTTTGGACACAGTTGCGGTTTCAATAGGGAATAAGCTGTTAAGATACCTTAGAGGTGACATGAATGTTGCAGTTAGGTTTCCAAGTGATTCACAACTGTTGGATTCCGAGGTTTTTCAAGGTCCACACATTGTTGCATTTTCGGATGCGTCTCACGCACCGTTGCGGACAACTGGACGTCGGGGAATTTCTCTTAATGTACTTGTTTCATTAGTGTTTTAATCAATGTAATGCTTCATTACATTTTGGCTCAAGTAAGCATTCATCTAATTTCAAACATGTGGAAACACATTTCCCATCAGCACTGGGTCCACGTGGCACCAAGTTTTTCCTTCAACCGTTGTTGGTTTTCCGCTTTTTGTGGGTTTCCGCCCTGCTTTTCCCTGGGGGGGGCTTGTTTTATCCATGTGTTCCCAGCATTTTGATTAACCCTTCAATCCATTTTCGCAGACAAAGTTTTGTTACTGTTTTGCATGTCCTCGATTTACCTGGGGCGTCGGCCGGATGGCAGCAGCCTGATTTTGGCGAGACACCACGGCATTCCCACACGTGTGGGGACGGCACTATTTCGTTCAGTCTTTTTTGCACTGGGGCCAGACCGTCGCATTCGCAGCTGCATTTTGATTCATTTAGGTCCAGGGGATTGGAGGCAGTTGAGAAACTCAAACGCCAGACTTCTTTTGATATTTGAGTATTCATCAGCATCATCAGTGCAATCTCCTCGAGTTCAACGCGTGCAAGCCCCAGGAACTCCACCGATATCGAGTGGTCCATCAGTGTCTAGTGATTCACCGGTTTCTTCAAGTGGCAATTCAAATGACTCCCCATGAAACGGACTGGATTTTCATTCCTGCGACTCCGAAATCAGAACCATTGGCCATACCGACTTTAGGGACAATGCCCAACAGACCCAAATACAAGGGCTCGCCTCTCCAGTTTGGAGGACTGCCTGTCCCTTCAGCCAGGCCCATGCCGAAATCAGTATCAAGAGCGAATCCAATGCTTGCTGATGTAAATCACCAACAGGTTTCAACAGTTTCACAACCAGCCGTTTCACCTAAGCCGATCCCAATTTTTGGCCAACCAGTCAGACCACTCGTTTCCAGAGGAACTGCATGCAAGGGTTCACAACAATCAGATTTTCTTCGAATTCAATACCCCTCCAAATCTGCTTGGCTGGTTCAGGAGTGGAGAAGCATTTTGCTTCAGCTGGGCCCGGACTCATCAGTCTTTCAAACGCTTGAGCAGTCGGACCACCCAGAGGCACACGCTGCTAGATTGTTGGATCAATTTGCAGCTTCAACATTACTGAGATATTTTGCAGCTTGGCAGAGTTTCTGCAATACAGTTCTCAGCTTGAAATTGTCGATCACCGACATGTCGGAAGCTCAGCTTGCAGATGTTTTAATCACCACGTCCCTCAGCAAGCGATCCGATTGCAGTGCAGGTAGCCACATAACCATCAAAGCCATCCGATGGGTGGCCACTCATGCCGGAGTACAGGGGTTGAGACATGCATGGAGCCCCTTAATTGACAGTTTCCTGCGCAGCAGAATCCCGAAGGAGCTCAAAGAGGCATTACCGCTCTCACTGTACACAGTTTGGCAACTTGAGAGACGTTTACTCATGTCAGCTTGCAGCACAGTGGAAACAGTGATCATTGGTGCCATTTTAATTTGCATGTGGTCGGGCATGCGTTTTGCCGATGCCCAAAGATGCAGTTACCATTCTTTTTGCTTTGATGGAACATCATTGCGAGGCAGCTGCTGGCGGACAAAGACATCCAGCCGCGGACAACCCTGGGGCCTGCTGGCATCAGGTTTCATGTCACTGGGAACATTCAACTGGGTTGAAAAATGGTTGACCACTATGGACAACCTTTGGCATCAAGCCAAATCCACCAACTTAGATATGCCGACCCCGGATTTTTTGTTTCCAAAATTGGGGACTTCTGGGATTGAAATTCCTTGGACGCCAATGACCTATGCGGATGCCCTTGCATGGTTGAGATATGCCATAGCCCTTCCATGGAAGTCCAGCACTCAGCAATCCATTCAATGGACGGCACACTCCATGAAGTTAGCGCTCCTGCAAGGATGATAACATTATTCCCTGCAACAAAATCTTTTGCCTGTTTTGTGAGGCAAAAGAAACCCAACAAGTGTGAACCAAAACTCAACTGTTTCAAATCGAAATTTGATTTTCCACAACTGCTGTTTTTCCAGAGTTAGTGGTTTCCGTTTTTCCTTTCTCAGGTTGTCAAGGTTTTGTTAAACTTGTTGAAACAAATCACTGAGAAATCTGAAACTCCGTTCTGAACTCCTCTGGGTAGGTCTAATATCTGTGTATATGTCAGTCCTGCGGTTCAAGCGTTCTAGCTGGGGGGTGTTGCAATGTTGTCGTGGTGCAGAGATGGATTCATTTTATTTGGATGACTCTGATCATAACAACTTAATTGGTTCAGATGATGCGTTACAGACAGTAGCTGAAGAAGAGACTGGCTTGGATCTAGACACAGCACTGCTGCCTGGGCCTCAACAGTCTGGACCTGAAGTCGCCGTTGGTGCACCCTCACATGAAGCTGGACAGCCGAGCACTTTTAATTTTGAGTCTTTGCTTGCACATGCCATGCGTAACGTTGCTGAATCACCAGTACAACTGCCATGGGAGTCAGATGAGTGGGCCTGCATTTTTGACCCTAACCACGATCCCTTGGATGCGCTTGTACCTCAGTTTGAGCCCAAGCTCAAAGTGCCGAAGCTGATTCACGATAAGCCTTCTGACAATTTAGTTTCACAACCAGATGTTTCCAGTTCTGATTTCACAAAGCCTTTGTTCATGGTGGCAGTTTCCAGAAGGAAAGACCAGGTTTGGACAGAGAAGCGAGAAGCTGAGTTGCAAAGAGCTCTCATGAAATGGGACACTATTGTCAGAAATTGGCCAGATGAGTGGAAATGCAAACAAGAACTTTTGGCATGTCCGACAGTGAATGATTCAATGAACTTGCTTGGAGACTACCTGACAGGGAAAGCGCCGGCAACCCTGTTGAAACGTGCAAACAGTATGGTGTTTTTGCATACCACCCTACAACAGTTGGGATTCTTTTGGCCCCTTGGAGAACCAGAAATGTACAGGATCATTAAGACCTTGCATTCAACTGGCAACCGCACTAGCCGATTGAAGTCCATTCTCGAAGCTGTTACCTTTTGCAGGTACTCCTTTGACATCAGCGACCTCCACCCGATCACGGTCAGCAAGCGTTGTTTGGGAGCCACTGGGAGTGATTTTGCAAACAAGTTGAATCAAGCTTCACCCTTGACAGTTGCAGACATTTGGCATTTGCATACATGTTTGGATAATGGGGATGCTTGGGACAGAGTGTTCAGTGGGGCTGCTCTTTTCTGCATTTACGCACGTGCAAGATGGAGTGATTTCATTCACGGTAATTGCATCAGAGTTGATGTGCTGGAATCTTCCGGCAAAGTGGCCTACGTGGACATGGAGGTGCAAATCCATAAGACCATGCAAGCAACTGCAAACAAGTTCAAGTTTTTGGATTTGGTCGCGTCTGGCAGTGGAATTTTTGGAGATGATTGGGTGAGGGGTTGGATAGATGCACTCAAGAATATTGGTGTTGATCCTTTTTCGAATGAGCCCGGCAAGACGTTGATGCCAGCGCCAGCTGAAGATGGTACAACTCTTCAACGGGCCTTGGAGAGTGATGAGGCAAGTGTATGGCTGAGACTGATGCTGGGTGAAAACGTTAAACGTAGTGAAAGCACACGGCAGATCTCATCACATTCACTCAAAGCAACCATTCTTTCGATGGCGGCAAAGCGGGGTTTGAAACACGAGGACAGGTTGGCCATGGGGCACCATGCACATCCTTTTAGGATGGCTGACACCTATGCCAGGGACGCACAAGCAAGGACAATCCGTTTGATTGATAAACTTTTGCTGGAAATTAGGGCAGGATATTTTGATCCTGACACAACGAGGGCTGGGAGGTTCAACAAGAACTATGCGCCAGACCCTTCATTGGATGTTGGTGCAGTCTCATTTCTTGAGAGTGATGTCGAGAGTGCTGCATTGGACGCCCAAGTGGATGAGGCGCTGGACAATGCCGTGCAAACAGTTGAAGATGGACAGATAGAATTAGAGGAAGATCATTTTACAAGTTCTTCTTCAGACAGTGAAGCTGAGAGCGTGGAATACAATGCACCTGTCAGGATGTTTTATCCACCATCGGCACCTTTAGGTTTCCACTTCATGCAGAATAAGAGGACCAAGACTCTTCACCTTGTTGATGCGAAGTATCCACATGGGACTTGTTGTGGCCGGGTGTTGGACAAGAACTTTTCAGAGCCTGCACAACTTAGATATGATTCAGCCGTTTGCCATGTTTGCCGAAGGCACAGGATGGCTTAAAAGCATACGAGATTTTTGCCGAACGATGGAGCAAAATGTAGGTGCATGTTGAGTCGGTGTGAAATCTCTTTTGAATAGATGTCACCAGTCAACATTTCGACCGGGGTGGTTTGAGATTTTTCCAACCGGTCATTTGTTGTTCCAGCGTATTCACGGGTGGTTGCAACAGTGCTGAGTCAGTTGATCTCAACCCGAAAATTTTTAAGTTTGAAACCTTTTGCAAACGTGGTGATCCAGTTTGGCAGGAAGGTTGCACACGTGACCATGGGTGGTTCCCCCCCAACATGGTCAGTAAAATTCTTGAGTCATTTTGGAGAAATATGGGCAATGTGTGGTAACCCAACATTGTGCTGCCAGAGATCCATTGAATCCGAGCCTGTGGGGTTGCGGTGGAAAATTCATTCAAGTGGGTCTTTGGCTCCAGTCTCAGTCAAGACAGTTAGACTTCAGAGATGTCAATACACCCAAAAGAATTGGGTCAACTATTTGATAGTTGAGCCTATTGTTTTGTAAACATGCACAAAATGGAACGGAAACGCCAAACACATAAACTTGTTGAACGCCATTTTTAACAGTGACTTGAAACGCGAAAGGTCGCAAGTTTATTTCAACAGTGCCTTGTCATTTCCAGTTGTCATCGGTGACTTCAACATTGTTTTAGGGAAACGGTGGTGCAGCGCAGCCATGACCTTAATTGATTCTGAAGCTGCATTCAAGCAACGTTGTGCAGAGTTGTCAACCGCCACATTGGATTTGCATACACTGCTGAAAGCTCAAAGTATTTCATGTTTCTCAGAGCTGGCCTTTGCGTGTGGAGCCCCCAACAAAGCTCCTACCGATGATGAGTTCAGAACCTTTTCAACACAGGTCTTGGGAGGTGGTTTCACAGCAGGGCAACAGAGCGTGCTGAGAAGAATCCACTTTGAAGCAGCAACATTTGTTGTCACAGTTGAAAACAGCAGTGACCAGTGATGCTTTAGATGGCTCAAAGAAGTTGCCGTTTGCAGAAAAGCAAGCTAGGTACGAGATGGTCAGAACCAAAATACCTGGATTCCTGGTTCAAGGTGAAACAGAACCATCCCATGCGCTGCTGGACAAGTGCCAGAACATTTACGACACCGGAGCAATCATTTGGGTTTCTCCATCAATGTGCACCAAGAGGGATGCAGAAGTACAAGCAATGCCAAAGGACTCACACCAGATCCTTCGCATTGAGTCACAGACGCTTAAGGTTGGAACGGATGGACCTAAGCTAGATGATGCAGACCATGGATCAGAGATTAAACTACAATGGTGTTTTCAGCGCAGTGGCGTGGCATTTGAGATGTGCAACATGGTGTCTTGGGATATATCCCAAAAATGGCTGGCCACGATGTTTGCAGCTTACTCAACAGACCCTCCGCCGGGGTTTGGAAAGATCAGCTTACAACAACTGGTGTCAGCAGACAAGGCAATGTGGACAATATTGGCTAGAGAGCTGTCGACTGTAAAGCCAGACAATACGGGAAAGAGACCGCTGGATGAAGCCATTTTGAAACTGATGCATGACCCTCGCATCACAATGTACATGCTGTCCCTTCCCAACAAAGGGCCAGCTTCCTCAGTGCAGACGAGGCCAGCCAGTACTGCCGCCACAACACCTACCACTGTGCAGCCAAAGAAGAAGGCCAGACCCAGCAAGAAGAATAGGACAGCCCCTACTCCTCCAGATGAGCTCAAAGGGTGCTATCAGCATACATCGGACAACAAGCCGATTTGTTGGTCGTATAATCTGAAGAATGGCTGCTCCCTTGAGGCATCTGGACAGCCTCCCAAATGCAGAAGAGGAGTTCACATTTGCGCCTTCTGTCGCAAGACATGTCATTCGTTTCAGCAGTGCAAAGCGGCTCCGGGGAAGTCTTCCCCCCACTGACAAAAGGCGAATCAATCGGAGACAGTTTCACATCACAATTTGTTGCAAGAGATGCCCAACACGCCTGAAGGCGCTCAGTTGGAAGATGGTGTCACCGACTCAAGCGATGCTGAACAACAGACGGCCGAAAAACGTTTCACTGAAGATCCAAGTGGTGCCACAACTCGAAAGGTTCTGTTTGAAAACATCCTTTTCTTGGAGGTCTTCGCTGGAACTTCTTCATTAACAATCGAAGTGCGCAAAACAAACTTGCGTGGAGTGGCTGTCGACAAAGGTACGGAGAGAGCGAAAGGGCCTATCACAATTTTGGACCTCACCATGCCAGAAGACTTGCAGTTCCTGATGGATTTCATTCGGCAGGAGGCCCTTAACCTTTGCTTGGTTCATTTTGCACCACCCTGTGGGACCTGTTCAGCCGCCAGAAAAAGGAAGTTACCTTCAGAAGTGCAAGCGAAGTTGAAAGACTCCGGAATAACTCCGCCACAGCAGTTGCGTTCCGAACAATTTCCAATGGGGCTCCCAGGGATTGCAGGTCTTGATTTATATAAAGTGGAACAAGCCAATAAACTGTACTTTGCAACAAGGGATTTAGCCCTACTGGCGATTTCACTGGGTATACGAGTTTCAATGGAAAACCCCACCAATAGCCTCTTTTGGAAAACGGATCCTATTCAAGAACTTTTGCAAGCTCATCCGGGACACTGCAATGTTTTTCACAACTGTATGATGGGCGGTGAGAGACAGAAACAGACAACTTGGTGGTGCAATGACCAATTTTTCTCTTCATTTAATTTACCTTGTTCAGGGGATCACCCTCACAAGCCATGGACACCGACTTTGACAGCTGATGGTGTCCATTATCCTACAAAGGATGAAGCGGAGTATCCAAAGCTCCTGTGTCAGAGAGTGGCAGCGCTTTTAATTGCTGATTTGCAGGCGCAAGGCATTGAACAACCGCAAACCTTAACACAGCAGATTGCACAACGACGCACTACAGCAATCAACTCAGTAGCTATGGGCCTACTTCCCAGAGGTCAAAAGCTGAAGCCTTTGGTCAGCGAGTTTGGTCATTACGTGCAATTTGCTGTCAGGCCAGATATGGATGCAAGCTGCATTCTGCCACAACTCACAAAAGGAGCTAGGATAACCGACCGGAAACTTCGTACTGGGGGTGACAAGCGGGTTTCCGACTTAACTGGTGAATCTCTGAAGTACTTGGAAGGTTTTCATGTTAACAATGAGACAAAGGTTGAGCTTGTGACGTTTGGAATCCCAAGAGAACCTTGGGATTTTGTGAAAAAGGCTGCGCAAGTTGGGCATCCGAGATTCTTGCCATACGCGGGTTCGGAACAGCTTGATGACTTGTTGCGGACGAACCTGAACCATCATGCTTGCAGGTTGGATGATCTGAGACTAGCCTTTTTCAAGAAATGGGTGAAAAGAGCGAAAGAGTTAGAAAAGGATGAGCGAAATCTCAGACTGGATCTGGGAGAACATGTCAGACACGTTTTACAAGGGAAGCGTTTGTTGGTTTTCAAGGAGATGCTGGAGGACCTGCAGTTCCCAGACACAAACCTCGTCAGCGACATAATTTCGGGCTTTCGATTGTCAGGTTGGATGAGAGATTCGCAGGTTTTTATGAGCTTGCCCCGTCCTCCAAAACTAACCTTGGAAGCCCTCCTTAAGTCCTCCCTTGGTTTGCAAAAAGCCGTGCTCAAGCGTGTCAGAGAACCAGAGGATGCTGAGTTACACCTTGCCGCGTGGGAAGAGACTCAAGCAGAATGTGAGCGAAAATGGATCTGGGAGGACACAACTGGTGACCTTCACAACAAAATCATTGCACATCGGTTTGGTCTGAGGCAGAATGAAAAGGTGAGAGTAATTGACAACTTCAAGCAGTGCGGTTTGAACGATGCTTGCGGATTGCCTGAGAAATTCACTTTGCATGGGGTGGATTTTATTGCAGCTTCATTGATCAGAGCGCTGGTCTTGAATCAGAAGTCGAATCCGGTTGCTTTAAAAGGTAAGACATTCGACCTTAAAGCGGCATATAAACAGTATCCAATTCACCCTACAGATCGCCAGCACCTCAGGATAGCGATCTGCGATCCTAACACTTGCCAGGCAAAGCTCTATGGCTTAAATAGCCTCCCCTTCGGGGCTACGGGTAGCGTTGCTGGTTTCCTCAGAGTCAGTTCGGCCCTCTTTTATGTCTTGAGCGTGGGCTTGAAGGTATGGTGCAGCGCTTTCTTTGACGACTTCCCAACGATGGCAGCTGATGCAGAAGCCGCTCAGACGGATAAGTGCGTTGGCTTCCTGTTCGACTTGCTTGGGATACAGTACGCAAAGGAGGGCAAGAAAAACCAACCATTCAGTACCGAGATGAGAGCACTGGGCCTCATCTTCGACCTGGCTGGGTTTGACGAAGGTGTTGTCTTTATAAAGCACACGCCTGAACGCAGGTCAGAATTGTTGGAGAGAATAACAGCAATCCTGAACTCCGACGAGCTTTCCCCGAAGGAGGCCGAGTCATTCAAGGGCAGAGTGCAGTGGTTTGAAAGTTTCTTGTTTGGCCGGACGGCAAACCTTGCCATTCACCGACTTGGAAAAAGAGCCTTGATTAAAGGTGGAAGGCAGGGACATAAACTTGATGCGGAACTACGAACCTCCTTGGAATTCCTCCGACACAGGGTTGAACATGGAGCTCCTCTTCAACTTACTGCCACGACGGAGCAGGCTATTCTTATCTTCACCGATGGAGCCTTCGATGAGGAGACAGGCATCGGGTCAATTGGTGGAGTCCTCTTGGATCACACCGGCACAGCACTCAGCTACTTCAGTGAGCGGGTCCCTAACCTGCTGATGGAACTTTTCCTGAAAGAGGCGGAAAATCCAATTTACCTGGTAGAGCTGTTGGCGGTGCATGTTGCCGCCTTCCTTTGGGGTGGACAGACGTTTGGCAGGTACATAGTGATGTACATTGACAACGAAGCCTCCCGAATGGCCTTGGTCAAAGCCTACTCCTCCACCCTTCTTGGAAACGTTGTGATCCAACTCTTCGTGCAAGAAGAAGACCAACATCAATGGAAGGTGTGGTTTGGAAGAGTTTGCAGCCACTCAAATATAGCTGATGGCCCTAGCCGCGGACATGTTGAAGACATGAAAGCTTGTGGGGCTAAGCACAGCCAGTGCGCATGGGACGTGGTCATATGCTCACTGGAAGCAGTCGAGCACAGGCTCAGATGGGGGTGATGGCGGGTGCTCGATGTTGCACCCCATCTTTCCGGTTGGAGCTTGAATAGACCCCCTTGCAGAAAAAGAAAGAGCGGCCACCATTCACTGAGTTGCAGTTGATTCAGAATTTCACATGTCAGTTTTGCACTTGGATTTTTGGAAACCTCACATGTCGGATTTTTTTGCACGTTGGTTTTCATTGGCGCGTTTCCCGAAGTTGCGTATGATGTACTATATATATGTATATATATATATATGTAGATATGAAGGGTTGGTTTAATATTACTTTACGTGGAGTCAGATTATATGTCTTTTGACATTGCCAGCTTCTGGTTCTGCGTTCCCTGGTTCACACTTGGGTGGTTTTGTAAAGGGAATAAGTTAGCGCTCCTGCAAGGATGATAACATTATTCCCTGCAACAAAATCTTTTGCCTGTTTTGTGAGGCAAAAGAAACCCAACAAGTGTGAACCAAAACTCAACTGTTTCAAATCGAAATTTGATTTCCCACAACTGCTGTTTTTCCAGAGTTGGTGGTTTCCGTTTTTCCTTTCTCAGGTTGTCAAGGTTTTGTTAAACTTGTTGAAACAAATCACTGAGAAATCTGAAACTCCGTTCTGAACTCCTCTGGGTAGGTCTAATATCTGTGTATATGTCAGTCCTGCGGTTCAAGCGTTCTACCCTCCCACAACCACCCTCTTGAACTTCCATATCTACCTTACATGTTACGTGCCAGACGACACACCAGTGTTCTGAGATTGCAAATCTTGCTCAGTCAATTGCTTTTCTTTGCGAAAGTTCGAATGACAGTCTTACAGTTGCAGTGCCACGTTGAAGAAACGGTGGACCTTCTGCAAGACATGGGATTTGACGGGCATTTCATCGTGGTCTTTTTGGACCAGATTCATGCCGAACTTCAAAGATTTTTACAAATGTGCACTCGAGCCATTTGCGGGCTTGAACATCGTCTTTATGACATTTTCTTACGACGCCTTCACATTTGATTGCAACTGTTTCAGATACCAGACGGATTTCCGTCCGTGGCTGCCTAACCCTTAGCCTGTGATGGCGGGTGCTCGATGTTGCATCCCATCATTCCGGTTGGAGCTTGAATAGACCCCCTTGCAGAAAAAGAAAGAGCGGCCACCATTCACTGAGTTGCAGTTGATTCAGAATTTCACATGTCAGTTTTGCACTTGGATTTTTGGAAACCTCACATGTCGGATTTTTTGCACGTTGGTTTTCATTGGCGCGTTTCCCGAAGTTGCGTATGATGTACTATATATATGTATATATATTTATATGTAGATATGAAGGGTTGGTTTAATATTACTTTACGTGGAGTCAGATTATATGTCTTTTGACATTGCCAGCTTCTGGTTCTGCGTTCCCTGGTTCACACTTGGGTGGTTTTGTAAAGGGAATAAGAGCACTTTGCTTGCATGGGGAGCACAGTTGATTGCAGAAGGGAAAGTCACCCCTGAAGAACGCATGCTTCAGGGGCATCATCGGCAGGGCACCAGCAAAAGCCTTCGCATTTACAGTAGAGATGACGTGCATGGTCAACTATCGTTTCAGCAGAAGGTCATCGATTTTGTCAGACGAGGTGGACGGTTCAGGACAGCTCAACACAGAGGGGCCCAACACCCAATGGATGAACCTCCTATTCAAGCTGAGTTTTTTCGCAAAGAGTCATTGTACCCCAAATGGAAATGTTTCCAATTTACAGCCACCTCAGTCGAGACCTCAGCAGTCGAAGAGTTGCCATGTGACACCACGGAATGGATTGATTCAGAATCGAGTGATTCCAGTTCATCCTCATCAGAGGATTCCGATGCAGCTGAGCCAAAGCCCAATGTAAGCAAGAAGCCTAAAACCACAGCTCATGTCGAAGCTGCGGATGAAATCCTGGTAGGTTTTGTAACCAATGTGCAACACGCCATGTTGCCCACAATGGAAGACTGGAAGCCCTATCATGAGGGCAAACATTACCAAGCAGCCTGTGGCGCTAGATTGGATTCCGACAGAGTCCAATTCTCCCAAGACTTAGAGCCAGGTCGATCGCTATGTCAGCGACCAGCATGCATGAAAGCTTGGAAAAGCAGCCTTCTGTAGATCAGAATATCGGGCCGCTTGCCCAAAAAATCCTACCATCGGATGATGGCGCGTGGAGACCAAAAAATTCATGCGTGGGGGCCGGATGGCCACTTCAGCGGTCACCAGACATTTCCGCATGATCTAGAGCCTCATGTGCAGTTTGCGATTGATTTTTTTTTACATGTTTGGCAAGTTTATGTTTTTGAAGTGCTGCATCTTCCAGTCAGTGCATCCCATGCCGCTTTTTCATCACATGTCATATCATGTCTTCATTGCCGACAATTCAAATCCATCCCATTGGAATCCAGCGACCACGGCCAGGGCCCTTGTTTTCAAATTGAGGATGCAGGGGCGCCCACAGCGTATGGTCCATAGCTGATGGCTCAGCTCAACAGACAACAGTCATGTCATCCCATCAAATCAAGTTCATGCGACATTCCTGCACCATAGTAACCAAATCTGTTCTTGCAAACAGGGGGAAGTGGCTTTTCTCTTCAACCAACTTTCACTCTTGGGCCCCATAACATTGTTTTAGGCTTCACCCCCTGAACATGTGTTTATTTTGAAGTTTGCTTTCACCTGCCATTGTGGCATTCCGTGCCCCATTCATGGATGACTCACTGGATACGATTCTAGGAAATGCAGGCGTCGACCCAGCCCTGGCTTCAAATCTGGTTTCAGATGGATGGACAGTGACGGCCTTTCGAGAAATCGCAGCTTCGCCCTCAGACTTTACGGATCAAGTATTCGCAGAACTATGCCATGATGTTAGTTTGTCCCTGCTTCAGAAGTCTTGCATCAAGGGAGCCTGGCGCAGCCTCCAGGCACCTCCAAACCCGGAAAGCCATGCACCAGCAGGCACATCATCCGCTGCAGGGACACCCTTGGCGACAGACAATACATGGTCGGAATCATTCCCACCGAAGTTGACCAGTTCAACAGTATCCCAATTGAAGATGAAATTCTGTACCAATTTTCCGTCAGAGGTTGTCACTCCGGAGACACAGCCAAGTGCCCGGTTACTGGCGCTCGCGTTCCAATTGCACCAAAAGAAAGAATACAAGTGGCTGCCCTGGAAATACCGAATGTCAGTAGCTCGATCCGAAGAGATGTCCTTGGGTCGAGCTTCCAAAGCCCCGAGACTTGAGAATGTTCAATTGCATCAATTGCTCATCGATGAGATCCCCTCCCTGGAGATCACCAACCAAAACCTGGGCTTGAATGCAGTGAACCGCATGTTTGATTTGCACAACTATGCGTGGGCTATGGTTCAAGCATGCCACTTACATAGGCTACGCTCTTACAGCTTGAAGTTCATGTCTTTTCTGTCAGTGCGATTGGATGCAGAGAGCGGCTTGAGAGCGCCGTCCATTCTCGAAGCCCAACATGCAGATAAGCACATTTGGCACCAGATTGCGGAACTATGTGAGTCACCGGAATGGACATTGGATGATGCATTGCTTGAGTTTACTCAAAATCGGGGGGATTTGGCTGCTTTGCTCCAGCCAAGGCCCAAATTGACCAAGCCAGCACCTCCTCCAAGCAATACACCATTCAAAGGTGGCAAAGCTGCCAAATCATCAGGCAAGGGGGGCAAACCCTCAAAAGGCACTGGCAAATCGCCGGTTCGTTGGGTTTCAGAGCTATGGAAGGGGTCCCAAAAGAAGACCCTGTGTATGCGATATCAAACAGGAAAATGCTCCAACAAAGATTGCCGGTATGAACATGCATGTGGTTACCCTCGAGCAGACGGTACGGCATGCGGGGCAGCGCATCCTGCAATAGAGCACGACAAGACTCCGCACTGACTTACGCAGCAGAGTCCATCAGTATCACCTCTCAATGTGACGACCGCTCAGTTTAAGCTTAGCGATGATCCTCCTCTTGAACACCAACCGGAGGACAAGTCCTTGGAGTTTTCACCCACGCATTTTGCGTCAGACATGCAGGCAAACTCCGCCTCACCAGGTGCCACACCTCAACAGGATGCCATGGTCGAGGAGATCACAAGCATGGACACTGGAGGCATAACCATGGACCCTCAACACACACAGATTTCAACGACCACCATACCATCAGCTTTGTACAATGTGAGTCAAGATCTTCTCACTCCATGGAGTTGCACGGGTACAAAAATTTTTCTGGATATTTGCAGCGGAGCAGACTGCCCCCTTTCTACAGCAGTCAGGGCGATGGGGCTTCCAGCTCTCTCCATTGACATTTTACCGGATAGCCGCATGGATCTGTTACATGATCAATTCTACGAACAACTACTGAGGTTAAGCGGCTCCGGAGTTATTGGATATGCAGCTGCATCGCCCTCTTGCACAGAGTACAGTTTACTCAAACTTCGGCCAGGTGGACCGAGAGCAATCAGGACACCAGATATGATGCAAGGCATTCCTGATTTATCTCCTGCAGAACAACAGCGCCTTCAAGACAGCGCTACACTGTTAGATCGATCAGTTAATTCGGTCCAATGCACCTACGTAGCTGGGGGTCATGGCCATGTCGAACAACCCTCAGGCGCCATGAGTTGGAGGGAACCATCCACGCAAAATTGGATTCAACTGGCCAACTGCTGCCTAATTCTTTTAGCAGCCTGTGCTTTTGACTGGGACATCAGGAAGACATGGTTATTTGCATCATCCTTTGCGCCGCTATCAGCAATTGCAGCAGTTTGTACCCATGTACAAGGTACCCACAAATCCATTGCAGGTACAAAGGACGAACATGGTATCTATTTGAGCAGGCGTTCAGCAGCATACCCAACGAAGTTAGCAACAGCTTTTGCACAAAAAATTTCAGTTTTACTTTCCCCACTCAAAGATGATATCTCGTGGGATTCAGCGTTTTCACTTTTTCCCCACAAAGATTGGTTCCAAGATCCCAAAAGTTTTGTGGATGGAGGGGGTTTGCAAT